ATAATACAGCAAGAACATCACGCAATTGTTACATATTTTTAGAGTATTGTAATGGAGGCAATTTAAGAGAATTAATGAAGTAAAAAGGAGGATATTTATGTGAATAGGAGGCTCTAATTTATTTCAAATAGATTGTAGAAGGCTTCAAAGCAATTTATCAAGAAAATATTATACATAGAGATATTAAACCAGCAAATATTCTATTACACAATGGTATTACAGACAAAACCATCATTTTAATTGAATAAACTTATTTACAAAAAAACAAATGATTACCTATTAAAATCTAACATATATTATGACCAGCAAAGTAAAAAAATTTCTTTTATACTCTAGATTTAAATTTAAAATGGTTTTACTAACAAAGACTGGATGCATTATAAAAAAAATCAATGATACTTTACAACTCTTAAAGGCATTAAAGAAGATAAACATATAATCAAACTTTATTATGAAGAATTATAGAAACAAATATCGAAATATTTGAATAATCAAATTGAAAAACATCATTTGAATTAAACAGGAAGAACAAGGTTGTAATGAATTCTTATCTGTAATTGATATGAAGTATTATGTATAAAAAAAAAAAGTTGACAGAAAATAAAAGTTTTTTGTTGATGGTTAAATAATTCTTCTTGATTTAAGTCCTGAAAATTATTTTAGATAACAAAAAGAATTTCCAGATTTTAATAAATTTTATGAGCATTCTAATAATTTAGAAAATCAACAACTTCTAAAGGAAATTCAAAAAGATTTTTCTTCATTTTAATGAAAAAGATTATTAATATTAATATTTGATAATTATATTGAATATCAATTTGTATAATAAATTATATTATGAAATAAAGTTTAAGTGAAGTATTAGACTTTGTTACTATAATATAATAAGAATTAGAGTTAAATGAAAATTTATGATATAAAGGAATGTTTTTTAGGCAATTGGTATAATTAAATTATAATCAATTAATTAAAATGGTTATTTAAATTTAGAATATTAATTAATTTTAAGATATTTGATTGTTTTAAGACTAATAGGAAAAATAGATTAAAAAAAGAATTAAAATGAATTTCTAAAAAAAATTTATAAAATTCAAATTATGATTGCCAATAACAAAATTATGCTTATGAGTATTTGTTTTGAATAGTCTTCCATGTTTGTAATGTCTTAATCATCTTCTATTAATGGTTCTACATTATTGCATGTCTCACTTGAATATCCATTAATAGCTTTTTGTTCAGCACAAGTTGCACATCTATTTTCTTTTTCTACTTTGATGCAATGAATTTCTTGACTTTTTCCACTCACAGTATCATAGGTAGTTTATGCTAATACCCTTCTTGTATTTCCTGTTTTTGTATTTGATAATACAGATGTAACTTTGATTACAACCTTTGACCAAGCTATTTCAGCTTTTAATGGTAAAATAACTTATCCTTAAACAGAATTATCAGGATTGTTAAGAGTTGCTTTTTTATTAAGTCCTTCTCCAGTATACCATACTTCAACTCCTGTCAAGAAATATCCTTCCATTCCTTTAGTTGTAATTGCTTGTTTTAAAAAAAATTAATCATTTAAGTGAAGATTTGGAGTAGTTTATTCAGTGCAAGCAGCATCCTTACACCATACTAATTGTGTATCAGGTTTTGCTGTACAACTAGCTTCAAGTGAACAACCAACTGTTGATTTAGCACTTAAGGGTTTAAAAGCAGTATCTATTGCAGCTCCATTATTCCTATTCACTATTACTTAAAATTCAAAATAAAAAGTATATTAAAGTTGGTCTGTATCTGCTGCATAATATGCAAGAGCAAAGTATCCATTGTAAATATATTATTCAGAGTTTTTAGTCTCAATTAAATATGTTTTTAAATCTTCTCCCAAAATTGTAAATGAATAATATCTCCATTATTTTTAAAAGCTACTTGAATGAGTTAGTTTAAGTGTAGTTACTTCAGATTTATCTGAATAAGTATTTGATGAAAATCTATAAAGTTTTAAATCTAAGCAAGTATCTTCAGGTGTTTTTCCATCTTCTTAAACAAGACCAAAATATTTAGCATCATTATAAAACTTCACATCTGAATATCTTAGATTAACTAAGACATTTGCAGTTCCATCAATAAAACCAATATCACCAGAAAAAGCAATTTAAGATGCTCCTGTACCATCAGCATTGTTGGCTGTACCAAACTTTTCTAAATAGTAATTACACTCTGGTGAATTAATATCTAATCTAGCCTACAATGTGATAGCCATCAAACATGAAATGAGGAATGTGATTTTTGTATTAAACATTTTTCTTTATTATATTAATGAATCTTAGAGAAGAAACTTGATGACTTATAAATCCCAAATTTATTTCTATCTGAAATGCTGTATTACATTAATTCTATCTGATTTTTTTATTTTTATCTTTTTAAATTTTCAATAAAATATCTTCTTATTCTATTTATACCAAATATTTATATTTTATTATAAAATATTTTTTTATTAATTTAATTTAAAATATTTCTTCTTTCCTATGAACCATTTAATGTAAAAAATCAAAATACTGAATCTTAAATAAATAAAATCAAACTGATGAAAAGATTAATTTAAATAAATTTTTTTTAATTTCCCATTTTTGGATCTTAATAAATAATTCTTTTAATAGTTTGAAAGTGCTTTTTATTAGCTCAAATGAAGTTTTTTATTTTTGGAAATTGGTAAATTTTGCCTAAATTTTGAGTTCAATCTATAATGCTTTTTTAAAGTAAATTTAATTATTAATATTAGATTTAAATCTGATAAATTTTAGGGTTTCTAGTTGATTCAATGAACTTAAGTTAATGAAAATCAGGTATATATCGAAATACATTTATTTGATGAACAAAAAAAGAGGTATATGAATTTTGGGGTTTTGTGAAATTATTTTGGAAAAAGACTCTTTGATCAGATTTAATGTATATTAAAAAAGGAAATTTTCTAAAATAGTACTGATTTGTAATTTAAAAAATATTTACAAAACATAGATCTTATATATCTTTAATATAAGTAAAAGGGAAAATGATTGTAATAAATTTAGAATTGAAACGATAATTACTAAAAATTTTAAACTCTAATTTAGTTCTAAATCTAAAAATTAATCACAAAAACGAAATATTTATTTCACCCAGAAATTTTTGCATCCATAATGATAAATTTATTTTTAATTAAATTTTTAAAGAAAAAGTAATAGAATTTAATTATCATATATAACAAGAAGGAGAAAAAGTTTGAAAATTATTAATAAGCTTTTAAGAGATTGATAGATATAAATATATATGTAAAATTCAAACACTAATGAAAAATTTGATAAAAAAGCTATTTTCAAAATGATATTGAATTTAAATGAAAATTGTGTTAGTTCACAGAATATATCTAAGTAAATCGTAAAAATTGGGCTATGGTTAATTAAATAAGGTAATAAATAAGAAATATATTTAATAAACAAAACTTATTTTTTGGAAAGATACAAACAAAGATTCAATATTTTTTTAGATAAAAGAAAAGTCAATAATTAAATAAGAACATAGCCAATATTTTGAATTAGATATTTTAGAATCTAATATCAATTCATTCTTTGAGGTAAAAGAGAAAGAAATTATAAAAAACTATAAGGATTTATTAAAGAGAGAAGAAAATATAATAAATTTGGATAATCTGATCGATGAAATACATAGACAATATTAATTTTATAAAGAAATAAGTAATTGAAATTAAAATCTTGATTTAAATATCAAATGTTTTTAATAGAAAATGACAGATTAGTTTTTAAAAAAAGGAAAATGGGTACTGTTAATTTAAAAATAAAGTAAAGTGACACAAAACCAGAATATTTAAGTTGAGTAGAGTTTAATAATTATATAATGATGAAATTTGAGGTTGTATATAAATAGAAGAATAAAATCTGATCATTATGAATTATGTAATTTTATATTATATTATAAAAATCTACATACAATGGATATGCATCCGATCATTTCTACATCGAAATAAAAAGCAATAAAGTATAAAATAATTATCATAAATTGAGTTGCTGTAGTTGGAGATAAAGGAGTAGGCAAACATTAATTAATAGAAAAAATGCTGGATGTTGAAACTAAAGTAAATGATCGAGATATAATGTCAATTGATTTTTTTATATCATATATTTGGATAGGTGATTGTCAATATTAAACAATTCATTATTGGGTTGTTTCCTTAGATACAAATTAATAACAGTACACTTTTATAAATAAGTAAGATTGAAGTGTATACCATTTATACCTCAGAGTGATATTTATGTTATAATGTTCAGCTTAAACTAGAATAGAAGTTTATATAATGCTCTTCAAGTTTGGTTTTAATTAAGTTCGTAAAAAAAAAGTGCTTAATTTATATTTTTGGGAAATGATATTGGAAAATTAAGATAATGTGGTTCTTTTAGTGATATAATAAAAATCCTTAGAAATAAAATGATTAGATCTTCTCCTAATTTAGAAGAAATATAAAATGAGTCATCATTAAAAGAAAATAGAAAAACTATAACATATGTTGATGATTTTATTGATGAGACATTACCAGAAAATGTTTAGTATATAGAAATCAAAGATTATGAGCATTAACCATTTAAGAGGGTTCTTATAAGTTGCATCTAAAATATTATAAGCAATGAGAGACAAAAATTGTATTCAATCAGTGCTCCAATATCTCCAAATATGATGCCTTAATTGTAAAAGTCTATATCTGAATATGTCCAAAAAACTTAATATCTTGAGAAACCTGAACCATTAAAAGTACTTAAAGAAAAGAGATAATCAGAAATAGTTTAAACTATAAAATTAGATTATTCTATAAATATTTAACCTATTTAAACAACGATGAATCCTAATCTTTTCCCGTTAGAATAGAGCAGCTATTCTCAATAGGATAAAAAAGAAACTGGATTTTGTTGTTAATTAATATGATATATCAACCATCTGAATGATTATATACAATATATGTTTCAATTGTAACAAATTTTTATATTATAAATTTTTATAATGGAATAAGATAGCATCACTATTCTATCTTAATCAAAAGAAAGAAGAATAAAGTATTTTAAATAATCATTTAGAGTTATTTTGATTGGAGATCAAAGTGTTGGTAAAAGTAAGCTTCTTGAATAACTGTTAAATGTTGAATCTAAAGTTAATGACAAAGAAATTCAAACAGTTGATTTTTTCATTTCCCGTGTTATTTTACCTGATAATTCAGAATAGAAGATATTTATTTGGGTTACTACTGGGGAAATCAAAAATATGTATAGATAACCAAAATAATAAAAATAATAGAAATCTTATTAGAGCCTTTTTAATTAAGAGTCATATTTATGTTATAGCATTTTCACTTAATAACCCAACATCTTTTGAAAATGCAGTAAATACTTGGTTTGCTTAATGTTATAAAAATGCGAGAGAAACTAATAATTATTATTACTTTATTGGTACTATGAGTGATAAAGAACATCTTTGTGGATCTTATTAGGATATAATCTAAACAATAGCAGATAAATGTTAAGAACTCAAGATTGAGAAAAATGCATAATAAGTTCCATTTCCAACAGATAAAGCATATATTAGATAATCAGCTAAATGGAATGATGATAATATCATTGAATTCGCTAAAAATAAATTACCTAATAATGTGTAAATTATTTTATAGAATTAGATTTTATTCTGAAACATCAGCAGTTGTGAAAACAGGAATAGAAAGAAGTTCAAGCATCTTCATTAGATTATTACAAGCTGTTGTTAAGTAGGAATTCTAAAAAGATGGTATATAACCAATAATTGCTCCATCAAGAACAGCTTCTAGATTTTCAATGGCATAAATGTAATAAATGCCTTTAGCTGTTGCTGTTCCAACATCATCTACAAGATAATCAACTTAGACACCTAATTTATAAGTTAATATGGTTAAAGAACCTATTCCTTTTTCACCTTTTGAATAAAGAGAATCAAATTCATCTTCAAAAACAGAAGTTAAAAAAGAATAAAATTTATGTTGTATGATTTAATGAAACATATTTAAATTTCTTAACTGTTCTCATTTCTTATTTGATTCAATTTATTAGATATGATTCTAATTTAATCATATTTTAAATAAGAATAAATTTACCCACTATTTATTTATATTAAAAATGTCATATCTCTTAAGTGAAAATTAATTAAGTAAAATTATTAATATAATTAGATTAATTTATATGAACTCCGTTGATGACCTCACTTGTAAATTAGACTCTGTGGGTTCCTTTTAATAAACTAATGACACATTAAGTCCTATTCAATTAAGAACAAGTGATATATTGTGTGATTTAAAAAAATCTATTGATAAATATAATAAACCTCTTTTCACATTAAAAGATTAAGTTTATTATTTGTATCAAATAATGAGAAATTTGACAATCAAAGAGAATTATAGTTATTAAATAGCATCAATTATATTTTTGAGTGAATATCAAGATAACTCTTCTCAAAAAGTAGAGAATGTTAAATAAATACTCTAATAATGCACAAATTTAAATCTAAAAACCTATTTTGTAATCTTAAATAATAATAATCGTAAACCAATTAACAAAGAACTTAGATAATTGGTTGATTAATTTCCATGTAGTTTAAGCATTGTAGATACTAACCTTCATGATTTAGATTCTGAATTAGAAAAGATAAACAAAGAATTAAGAATAGGATCTTTTGATACAAGATTGTTTCTTCATATTTCTACAAATAAATCTATGAAAATCTTTCTCGAAAGTTTAGTAACTTCTTTATATAAATTTGAGAAGGGACTGACTTAAAATGATAAAATTTATTGGTCTTCATGTAAGACAAATTAATTATTTACTGCAGTAGAAATTTAAGCAGATTAGGAAGAAGAAAAGAAAGTAGGAAAAAAAAATAAAAGAAAAAATGTGATTTATGGCTTCGCTATAATAGTAGTTCTAACAATAGTTTGCTATCTATTATATGTGATAGTCATAACATTTATTTAATGAATAATACTATTTTAAATAATGAATATTATATAATATGCATCAATGAAATTCTGAATATTCTTATTATCTGGAAGTCCAAGGATTATCAAAGAATGATTTATGAGCAAAGTATTAGTAAGCAACAAAGATTATTAGGAGGATAATGAAAATGATGCTGACATAAAATGCTGCAATAATCAAAGAATAGGTATGGAAGTAAGTATTCTTGGCAAATTAATTGACTTTAGTAATAGCCTGTAAATATTAGAAAAATTATATATACCAATTCTAATCCTTCATCTGGAAAACAATTTTTTTCAAGATACTTAGAAAATTGAGAATTATGTTCTCTTAGTCCATTCTAAAAATTAATAAGATTGTATATATTACTTTTCCATCTACTTCACTTATAAAAACTGCTCCTAAAGCAATGCATAAGATGGCAATTATTAATGCAATAGCACAAAGAAACTTTGGTTAATGAAATTCAGTCATATCCATCCATTGGAAAATCTAAAACATTTGAATTAAATATACTCTATTCTTCATTAGATACAAAATAGGAACAAGGAAAAGAACTATTCCAACACTTATAATAATAATTAAAGACAAGGCTCTTTCTGAATTATATACTTTTTATCCACTCTTTGTGATTTAATCAATATCTTTAGGTGACAATTTTTAACAGAATTCATTTGAATTAATCGAAATTTTCTTTATGGCTTCTAATGCATACGTATCTTCGTTATCTTCATAATTTTCATAAAATGGTAATTAAGATAGTACATTAGTCAAGCCATTTTATTAGTAAGTTTGACGAGCCGAAAATGTATTCAAAGTGAGTCGATGAGATTGAAGATCTTCAAAATTATCACAACCAATTTCAGGTCTTTTAGCAAGAGGGTAATATTTAGCTGATTAAAATTATGGATTCAATTTATGATTATAACAAGGGGAAGAATCATCTTATCCAATTCCTGGAACAACTTCGATACTAATAATAGGAGATGAGTTTTCAAATAATTTGATATAATTATCTGTTCCAATTTTAATAGCATTTCTATCATTAGTTCTTGAATTATCTTTAATTAAACCAGAAAGTGGGCAATTTTTAGTTGATGGAACACAAATACTACCACACTATTAGTAAGATGTTTCACATGTAGCACCTTATAATGGTTTCCATTCTGTAAATATTTTAGTACAATATTATTTTTATTGCCATGTCGTAAAAAATATAGATTCATGAGATTTAACCTTTTTACAATTAGATTTATAGAAACAAGTTAGAGAATGACTAATATCTCCATTTTCACAAATACATCCAGATTAAACTCCATCCCATTAACCTAAATGAGTTCTTCCATATCCATTTGGACATTCAACCTAATCATGTGTAAAATGTGGTATCACATTGTGACCCACAGCTGATGTAGATTGAGTGGCTACTACAATATCCTCTATTGGTGCCATTTGTAGATTATTTTTCAGTGTTTCTAATGTGTTATGTGCTCCTTCTGGATTCAAGTGTTTCACTTTATATGCAAAGATTAATGCCATAATAAGTAGAACTATTATAAAGAATGCTATTGGTAATATGTATAGTAACCAATCTATCAACTATTAATTCAAATTTAACGATTACATAAGAATGTTTCTTTGGTTTTACTATAGTTACAATTTTATTAGGCATTGGCTGTTACACAATAATTTCCTCTCTTTGTGGTTCAGGTTACACTTTTACTAAAAGATTAGACTATATTTATACCTTAATATTCTGTTTCTATTGGTGGTTAGGGTTAATAAACAGGTTTTGCTTAAATATAAAAAAACTAAAAATACTTGGTGTGTTACTATTGTATCCAAATGGCAAAGGTGCTACTTGTTACTGTGGATTTATGTACATAGATTAAATGTACGAATTAGGTAACATTGATAAACTGAAAATAAAATCAATAAAAATAAGATTAAAAGAGAGTATTCTAAATATTATGATTAAAATTATATTTATGTATGCTCTTTAATATTGCTCAGAATTTATAATCTGGAGTAGTGTTGGCCTTTCTAAATGCAGGTTTACCACATTCCAATAATGCTATTATTATTGATTTAATTGTGTACCATCCTTGAATTGCATACATTTTGATTCATCTTTTGTTCTTAAAACACACTAATTATATTTCGAATTATTTTCTTACTTCTTTAAATGCACTTAATTCTCCTGGACATTCTTACTTCAAAATAATTGTTCTTGGAGCATTTTCATCTTCTCTTGGGAAACTATTAGATGAAATAAGGTCAATGTTTATACAAAATGACTTTGCTTTCCATTTAAGTGGATCTCTTTTTAGCTGTGGAGAAATTATATGATCGTGATTCCATTTTAATTAAATATCTAAGATTTAAATTAATCTAAGTAACACATATATATATATTATTCAATCATTATTTCCTGCTTCTAACTGATTTGAGTGCCAAATTAAGTGCTACCTTATACAGTTAAGAATCAATAGAGCTTTATTATTTCATAGATTTTCCAAGTCCTTTTGCAGTAGCTGATTTTTAATGATGCATTTACTAAGATGATGATTATCCACTACTCTATTTAAGCATTGTTGATTATTAAGAATTAGTTACTTATCTTGCAGATTGTGTTTATTAATAATACATAAGCTTTTATTCTCCACTTGTATTTATTTGTAATGGTTTATCATTTGATTTTGATTTTATATTGATTTTTCTGCTAGGTTCTCGATTTGATAAAGGCTCTTAAATTTTCGCTCTTCTAAATTGATTTAATTCTTTTATGTTTAATTTTTTTCTAGATAATTATCCCTTTAGACGATTTGTTATTTCATATCTTTAAGTAAGACTACGAGGATCTTATAATAAAGATAAACTGTCAAAATGAACAGTGCAATATTGCTTGGAATCTCTTACTAATTTTTTGACTTAAAGTGTCTAAAGATCAGACATGACTTTTAATTCTAATTATTACACTTTTTTTGGAAGATGCGGACTTTGTTAAGGAGCTCTTGGTGTAACACATTTAGGTGATTTTAAGAGAGTGGCAATTCTTTATTGATTTGGTAGTAAGGTACGATTATTTGAAGATTTAAATTCGACATCACGAGGAGTCTAGATTAAAAATTTGAAGAGTTTACAATATGTAATTGATCAGATTTTAAGGATAGATTTTTCTTTTTAGGAACTGTTTTAGGAATAGATGTCTTGAGCATATTAAGTATACTTGTTATACTTGATTTTCGATGATTTAGGAGTGGTTTGTTTTATGAAATAAATAATTGTTATGGAGGTTAGTAGTTTTCGTATTTAAAGTTAGGATTGGTAGATTACATAAGTTTATATTGGTGGAGCTATTACTTGAAGTTAACAAATTGTGGTTTAGGGTCAATGATACTTATGCCATCAAGGATCTTGTCACATTTAGACATCAACTAAGTTGAGTGTGTTCTGTCTTACTTCGTCTGAGGAGCTAGGTTCTTAAGCAGTAACTTATTGGCTGGATTATGGCATTGGGGAATCACCTACTATTCCTTTTGGTGGTTTATCAGGATTATTCTTATTCTCTTAAGCTATCAACTTGGCAATGCGAAAGTACTCTAATCTTCTCTTCTTATCATGGTAATAATTTAATGGAATAATGGCTGGAAGCATAAATAATCGAGGTATATCGTTATGGAACTAGTGTAGAAGATTAAAATAGTACTTTGTAGTACTCACCCAACATTTACAATTTTTCAGAGACTATTTCAGATTAATAGATTTTGCAAATTAATTCTTCAGGTGTATCATACATTATCACATCTTTGTAAAGTATATTGTTGGTTGTACGATGATTGTGTAAGATCTCTGTTATCCCCTTAGTATAATGGTAATTCTATGATTGTGAGTATTTCAAGAACAAAGAATGACGCATGATTTCTAACTCTATAACACATGTATTCTTACCAATCAATGGTGTAGTCTCTTCACAAAAATCACATTTCATTTTGAATTTTATATTTATAAAATAATATAATAATAATATTCAAACAAATTAATTCATCCTACTATTTATAATGGACAAAACTCTACAAAGAATTATTAGATATACATAAAAACAGATAGACTCTAATTAAAATTGTTATTTTGATCGATATGCATTTAATTACACCAGAGATCTCTTAGGAGAAGGATCTTTTGGTAGGTTATAATTTCTAAGAACATTAGTGTGTATAGAGGAACTCATGCAAATTCCTTTGTAGCTATTAAGATCCTTAATCTTAAGCATTATGATAACCCTGTCTATAAGTAAGCTCTCAAAAATGAAATTACACTCATGATGGAACTTTAGAGTCCTAATGTTGTAAGAATCTTAGATGTATAACCTATCCAAAATACAAGGCACTTTGTGATTAACATGATAATGAACTCTTTTTAATCATTGAATATTGTGAAGGAGGTGATCTACGTCATCTTTTGTCTCATTAACCAAACCAAAGATTTCCAGAGTCTGCTGCTATTGCTATCATATCTTAAACCATCTAAGGATTAACAGAATTATTACACAAAAATTATATGCATCGTGATATTAAAGTAATTCATTAATATCCAATTAGCCTGATAACATTCTTCTTAAATAAAATACTTATAAAATTGCTGATTTTGGTCTGGCTGCAAAAATTCCTCCAAAATAAGTATTAAGAGGTATCATTTTCTTTCTCATATTTATTAGCTTAAGCAGGAACTCCTTTATATATGTCACCTCAAGTTTTAGAATGTAAAGAATACTCTAATAAATGTGATATTTGGTCATTAGGTTTAGTCTTATATGAACTTATTTTTGGTAGAACTCCTTGGTTATGCAGAAGTTTTGATACTTATCTAATGGAAATTAAAACGAAACCTTTACAATTCCCTTATGAAATTGAAATTTCATTTAATGTTAAAGATTTCATTAAAAGATGTTTAAAAATTGAAGAATAAAATCGTATAAGTTGGACAGAATTGTTAAAGCATCCAATGTTATAAAATCAAGGGAAATTGAAGCGATAAGGTACTTAGGAAAGATTAAATTTTTCTGTTTTAGAAAGAGAATATTTATATAATATTTAATTAGTATGTGCTTAACATAATTTCCAAGCCAAAGATCTAATGAAATAATGTGGAAAGACTCATATAAATTAATAAGAATTTTAAAATATGTTAAGAAAAATTATGAATTAAAACAATGAAGAAATTGGTAAAAAATTGTTTTAAAAATTTGATTATTCCAAAGATGGATTGATAAGTGCATAAGAGTTTGAATATTTATTTAGTGAATATGATTTTGCACCTCTTAATACTATTGCTGTTTAAATCATTTATGAATTATAAGCTATTATTAAAATGTATTCAATATCTTTAAAATAATTATTTGAACAATTAGATTAAGATAAGAATGGTTTTCTTGATCAAAAAGAATTTGAATTTCTAATTAAAAAGATTGCACCTAAATTATCCTAAGAAAATATATAAGAAATATTCGAAAATTTTGATTAAGATAAAGATGGAAAAATTAGTCTAAAAGAATTATAATTTGTTTTGTAGAGTAAGAATTATCAAAAATTAAAATTAATTTTGAATAGGATTCGTGAAACTTTAATGAAAAAATCTGTTTCTGTTAGTACATTGTTTTCCTAAGTTGACAAGTAATAGAAAGGATTTATAAATTTCAAGGATTTTGAATATTTAATGAGTAAATTAGATTAATTAAACAGATCTGATATTTGGGATCTTTTTAATTTGTTTGATGAAGATGAAAATGGGAAAATATCATTAAGTGAATTTTAAACATTGTTAAATTTATGATTTAAAGAAAAGTATATTTAAAATAATTGAACACTTTTATTAAAATTAATAAATTTTTTGACCACACTAAATTTCACTAATTCAATAAATTAAATACTATTTTGCTTTCTTCTAAGTTTTAATTTTTTTCTATATAAAAATGGAAGAAGATTTGAAAAAGCTCACACAAATAGAACAAATAGTTGAAAAGAATAAAAAATTATTAGAGTTTATAAGTAGTCTATAATTCTATGATATATAACTATTTTATGCAGTGAAAATGATTGATATAAATCTTAAAATAGCTTTTTAAAATTTGGAGAAAGCAGTGATATTATTTTAAAATACATCAGCTATACTTTATAGTAGGATTACAAAATAAATTAGAATAAATTCAAAAAGTGTTCGATCTTAAATAAAATTTGCTTATAATTTTTGGTGGAGTGAATAATTATTTAGGTTTACAATTAAGAAACTTATTTTTATATTAATTGAATTTAGCTATATGATTATAATGTATAATTAAGAAAAATTGTTTTATTATTGGCTTTCGAGAGGAGATCTATTTAATCAATAAAGAATTTAATTCTTCAACAATTAAGAATTTTAAAGTATCATTTTTTAGAATAATTATTTTTCTTAGGTATTTAGAAGTATGGTATATCCTACTGAAAGTTGGGATTTTCTCTAAGAATTTGAATCAGTAAATGAATGGTAAGAGTTTTTTGATTCACATTTCCTTAGATATTTGAAAATAGAGATTATTGATTTTCATCAAGCAGAATATCATTGTACTTTGACTTAATTGAGGTAATTAGATTATGCTTAAATATTTAGAATTTTTAGATAAACATTCATTGGAGATCTAATATAATTTCATTCAAGATATTAATTGTAATTACCGAAAATAGAACTAATAAAGGAAGTAATGAAATAACCAAAAAGAATAAAAAATCTATGTAATTAGATAATGAATAAATATGGAAACTCCAACAAATCTACACACAGTTATTTAGATTATATATTTGATTTATCATAGTCAAGTTAGATGAACTCCAAAATTTAGATCAATATTTGTAATTCCTTTCGAATCTAATCAATCATTATATAAGGTGGCTGCATAAAACATAGTTATTTTATCTCATAAGCTTTCATTATTAAAGTTATTAAAGGAATAATTATAATCTATTTTTAAAACTAAGTTGAAAAAGAGAAGTAAAATCAAAAATATATTGATTATATTAATAATTATTATTAAAACTCTAATAATAGCGTAATATTTATAATAATTTAGATGAATTGATAAAGCAGCTGAATAGTTATACTAATTTTGTATATTAATCTTATTTATTTTTTATGTTGGATTCTAATTATCAAATCATGTTAAATTAGGAACAACAGAAATTAATAGATATTAATTCAAAACAAAAAGAGTATTCCAGATACTATTTCTGTGTGTCCAATTTTTGTGAATGGTAGTAAAAGATTAATGATAAAAATGGTCATCATGTAAATAAAAAGTAAATGATAATAATAAGAAAAAGAGGAATTTTGTTATTTGATTTATATTTTACTATTTAGTTAAAATATTTAATTCATAAAATAATTAATGTTCCCAAGTAAATTGTATGATTTACAATTAACACCTTCGCTGAATAAGTTTAATTCTGATTATGAAAGTGCAAAATTAATAGAGTCATTTAAATAACTATTAATTGAAGACGATAAAGAAATAGTCACATCGGCTATGGTATTGAGCTTAAATCAAAAAATTAGGATCTGATGAAAGCAATATCTTATTCTCTATACGGTACATGGTATTATTGGAAAGTGTTGAATGAAATTTGTAGAGGCGACGATCTTAATACCATTAGTTAGTAATTGTAGAGAAAAATCATAATTTATGATATTTGTGAAATTGAAGATTTGAAATGTTAAGTGATTAATTTTGGATATAAGAAACGCATTTATTTGGCTCGATATTTAAATTACTTTTATGTAGTGGATAAAAAGGGTACATCTGAAAAACATAAACTTGTTAAAGATATATTAATGGATGTTATAAATGAAATAATAGGATTACCTATTAGAAGACATAAAAGATCTTATTCAGATGCATTTAAGTATCTATCAGATTAGAAGGATAATCGAACAAATAAAGTTAATATTAAAAATGTACCATTATCTCCTTCAAATATATCACGTACAAGTTTATAAATGCAATTATTGGATGAAATTAATTAAGAGAGCGATCTATTATTGAAAGAATGCGATTCTTTAATTAATTCCCCAAGTCCTTAGAATGATCTATTGCAATCTCTCAATTTAAATTTATAAGAAGGAACAAATATATTATCTAATGTAAATTATATTATTAAAGTCATGTTTAGATAAGATATTTTGGAACATTAAAATTTTATGATGAAGCAAGATCTTATGGATTCATAATAATGGATATGGATGGAAGTGATTTATTTGTTCATAGTGATGATTTAACTAAAGCTGGTATGAGTAAGGATTTCTTAAGAACAGCTAAACATGGAAATATTATAAGATTTTCATTTCTTATTCTTGAATACTTTGGAAAATATAATAAAAGTAGAAAAGCTGTTGACTTATAGTTTATTTAAGGTCAACCTTATTTCATGTGATATTTATATGTATATTTTACTAATATAAGTTAATTTAGTTGTGTTAATCAAAACAAGAATATACTTTTATAGATTCAATTATTAATATAAATTCTATTTTACTCTTTTATAACAATTTATATATTACATAAGTTATATATATAATATAAAGAATCATAACTTCTTATTCTTAATCTACTTTATTTTTAGAAACAATTCTTATCAAAGATACATAAACTAGTAACAATAATGCAGTTTACAAATTGGTATAAATTGAAAATTAAGGTTAGTATACTAGCTCAATCTATAAAACAATTTTATATCCCTCAAATAACTCCCACATTCTTCACATTCATTTTAAAAGACCAAAAGCAATTCCAAGTTACTAGTTTTAAAATTAGATGAATAGGAAGAATTAAAATAGTCAAATAAAATGAAGAACATAATACAAGAGATATTAATAGTAATGTGTTCTTAAAATTTATTGGATTCTAATTGAAATAATCTTAAATTATATAAATACAAGGTATCATGTTTTTATACTCAATCAATAAATTACAATGAATCCATATCAAAAATCTATGTGTACAATAAAAATATCCCAATAATAGATTTAAATAATGCTACAAAAAATAAGGGATTTTTTTATATGACTCTTGTTGATTAGTGGCTAAATTTCCATTTGACTAAATAAACTACATTATCATTATTTAAAAATGAAACAAACTAAGCTCTAATTCACATTCCTAAAATAATTATTAATACTTTTTTGATTATGATTAGTTTATATGATATGTTTAACAAATAAACCAAAACTAAACTTATTAGTAGACCTTCAAATCATTTATAAATTAAAGACTTTAGATACAATACTTAATATCCAATGAACTGCTAAAAGTAAACCATTAGATAGAGTATATTCTCTTATCACCATTATGCCTTACCATATATCAATATAGTAGAAAATATAAATATACTATCTCTTACTCCAATCTCATATATTGATAGCATGTTCAAAAATAAAAAACATGTTATTGGAAGAATTGAATGTCTTTATTTGATTGTAATGATTATTTCATCTATGTTATAATTAATTTATTGTTAACTCTTATCAAATTTAATTAAATTAATAATAATAATGAAAAACATATACTTGTTATATATTTCTGTAAATTCAGATTAGTTATCAGTTATCATTCGATTATCAATCCCTACTCTGACTCAATTATTAGTTTGACGGTATTCTCATCTAATTATTCCCATTTTTAATCTTCTTTGTTCAGAATCTTTTTAATTTTAAAATTGAGAATAGTTTCTCTATTCTATACAATAATTGATATAAATTACTTAATTAGTATGATTTATTAAAAATATAAACTTACCCCTTTTAATTTAAATTATCTAATCCACTTCATGAACATCTGTTTATTCTTCTTCTAACCATCCACATTATTATTCAAATTAAACAATTTTATCATCCATTACAGTTTATATCAACCCCTACAATAAATATAATTAATACTGAGCCAATAGCAAGAGCATTTAAGATTTATGCCTAAGTATACACTCCATTATTTTCAAATAATGTTTTTGGTTAGAATTGTTTATGTTATAATTTAGACAATCTAAAATCAAATCCTAACCCTCCCTCTTTAATAGTTCTACAAAGAACAGGATAATCTAAATCTTATATTATACTGATTCCATTAGGTAATAAATCATGGATCAAATCATTTGCTAACATTAAGTATACAGCTGCATCTATATCATCCTAAATATCAATATTAGAAAATTTAAATCCATCTATTTAATATTCTGTAATCCAATAAGATATATTTGATAACAATAATCTTAATACTTCCCATTTTCCATAATCTAATTGATCCATTCCCTCTTTCAAATACTGAAAAGCACTTCCATCCCAATTACTTAAGTAATTTTTAATTAGTTCATGATCAATTTCCATTATCACTGAAAAACCCTTATCATGAACTATATCTATATTCTTTTTTAAGTTATCTGGTGTTATTTAATTTATGTCCAGTTGCATCAATAATTATTATGTTATCATTATTGTATTGTAACCAATTACTTCTGTAACTTCTGTAATCATTTGTTTTATCACTTTCAAACCTTTACTTTGTTGTTTTTATTACAATTGTTTTTATTGAAATTCATACCTATTGTCTGGATTCCAAAATATTGCTTGCTCTCCCTTTTTTACATTACTCCATACTGAAGCTCTTTCGAATTCATTACAATATGTTATTAATTTGCTTCCATGTTATATTTAATGATTATCATCATCATCTTTTGGAATAAACACTTCCCAATTTCCACCATTGTCAGTAGTACAACCATATTCATTCAATTTTAATTCTTTAGCATTTGGTGCCCATTCTCTATAAGTTATTCCTGTATCAGATACAATAAATCCATATTTTTAATATCTACTTACACATTTTATAATACCCTTTAGCAAATTCTTTAATTGATGATTCCACTTTGATTATTTGTTCCAATACCTAAAAAAACTTCTCATTTCTATTTTGAATCACTTCTTTCAATTCAGGCTCTTCTATTACTGTTTACAATTGATCAACGTTCTTCTCATACTTTTACATGAATTCCTCGTTCTCAAATACTGATTACTAACAATATTTAAAAACACTCTACTTGATAAAATAAAGAATTTTTCTTAGACAATTTTCTATTTGGAACCTTTCTAGATAGAGCTGTGCCTTAATCAATATAATTCATATATTTTTATATTTATTATTAACAATATCATATATTTTATTTTTAAACCCTCTCTCTCTCTACTAAAGAGAAAACCATTCATGTATCAAAAAATTAATTATTTTCTATAAAATCTAAATCTTTCTAAAAAAAAACTGAATAAATTAGTTAAATATATATATATATATTACATTATGATTAGATATTTAAATCTAAGTAATAATACAATGATTGTATATCAAATTCATTTCAATGGTTACGTTTTCTATTTAGTATTGTCAATTAATCTTCTTCTTTTTTAATGAATTATAGACTATTTCTTTTTTTTTACTTAGTCCTAAAAATATAGAATCCTTTTTTTCTTCCACTTACTTAAATCATTGATTTTCATAGGTTAGTTATCTTAAAATCTATCTATTTCTATTTTCTAAGATATCAATTTCGGATAAATTGATTTTATTCCGCCTTAATAATCTTAATCATGTAGAGTTTAAGATAATTCATGATAATCATTATCATTTTCCTCTGTTTTATTGATTATTGAACCAGAAATATCCTCTTCCTCATCTGAATTATGGAAAGAGTTAATCTTATATTAGATTTATGGGAGCATTTTTGTTATCTGCATTACTATTAATAATTGATTGTTCAAATAAATAAATATAATCACAATCTTTAACATACTCTCTCTATCACACTCTATTTTGAAGAAAAACAAGATAAATCAAGCCATATTATGGCGTTGTAAATTTATTTGAAATTCATAATTATTTTGAAGATAATATTTACTATATTATTAAATAAGAAATTGTATTTTTGAAATCTATCTGATTATTTCTCTTTATACATACTATTCAATATCAAATAACATATCTATTATAATTATTGTATTCTTTTCTTATTTATTCTCTTTTTCTAATCTTAACTGACTAATAAAATTTGCGTGATTTCTATAAAACTAAACCATCCTTTATCTTTATAAACAAAAATATTCAAATATATAAGAAATCCACTTGGGAAATTATCACTACACTATTATTATAGTGATTAGTTGTCTCTATAATTAACTCATAATTAATTGAAGTATTTTTATGTATACAATGTATTTTATTCCAATACTGTAACTAAAATTCAACATAGCCAAAAAATCTCAAAAGTAGAAGAAAATGGCTTTGTATAAGTTTGTATAATAAATAAAAACTTTTAACTAATCTTCTTATATAGATATTTTTATTTTAAGTTTATTCTTAACTAACAATTATTTTTTGTAATTTGAATATAACAAGTTGATTGTTTTACCATTTCTTTTCAATTAATATAGTTCTAAAATGAGTTATGCTTATTCCATTTTAGCTTCTTCATTTTGATTACATTGTTCATTAAGTGATTTATGACAATCTTTTACTAATATTCTTTTTGGGTAATAATCTCATCAAAATCCTCTAGATAGTATTAACTTTAGTATGTTTTTATTCAGTTGTTATACTACTAGTTTTCCAGGATGTAAATCAAACTAATTTCATGATTTATCATCTATATTTTTTTTACACTTTCACAACATTCTTTTTACATGCATAAACTTATTAGAGATAGGTTTTAGATTTAATATAGTACAGAGACATCATTGTGTTAACTTAAAAAAAAATATTTAAACTGAATACAAACAGGATCAATTATGTGAAAAAATATCTATCTGAATTATTATGTGAGCTAATGTAAATTAATTTTTAATTGTAGAATTTTCAAGACTTCTAAAAATATTCAAGTATTATTAAGTTAATTTATGTGAATATTTTTGATGATAAAATAGTTATCAACTTAAAGACTTTTTTTTAATTTGAGTACTGATATAATTATAAAAAGTTTTAAATATTTTTATGTTCTATAAAAGTGAGAATAATCATTTTCAGAAAGTAAGTTTGATATATTACTTTTTTTAGATAAAATAAGAGGAAGAGAGAGATTATTTTATTTTTTTATTTAATTAGATAAATTTAATTTTGTTTTCTTGAATTTAGATTAGACATACATAGATGTAGTTTTATAGAATAATAAAATTACTTTAATATTATTTAGATTAATAATTATGGTATATAAAATAAGAAATAAATCATTCTTTTGGACTAGAGCCGGATGGAAGAATAATTGGCATCCAAAAAATTTTAATGCACCTCGTCCTTCTAGCTCTGAATTTACAATAGGTATTAGATGTCGTTATGATCATAACTCATTTTTAAGAGGTTTTGAGATTTGTTGATTAGATTAGCATATCATTCATATAGGAAGATTTCAAGACATTGTAAACAATATTTCTATGGGAATAAAGAATTAGAAGAATTATTTTAAATGGGTTTAAGAACATTTTTCATTGTTCCACATATAGCTGAATGTTAAGTTACATAAATTAAACATGGTGGTGAAAGGAGAATGGTTGATTAAATAGATAGAGATTTTGAATTAGTGTCATATAATTCACATCCATATTAATTATTTACATATACAGTATGGAATCAGTATTTAGCAAATTAATAAGAAGCTTATGAATAAAGAAAGAATGGAAATAAAGCTATTGAAGATTAAGTGATTGATCATATTAGGTAAATATAAATTTAAAAAGTAAGTGAATTAGTCAAAGATGAAAAGAGTAAGTTGGGTCCTGGTAAATAATTAAGTATTGAAAGGACAGCTGAAATTGTTATGAATGTTATGAGATAATTAAGAAGTGCATAATAGAGACCAAATTTGAATAATAGGTAAATTATTAAATTTAAAATCTTAGACGAGCAGATGGTGAATTTGATGATTTCTTAGAATAAAGAAGGCCTTTTACAGCACCTAATAATCAATCAGCAACTCATAGAGTAATAATATTATAGGAAAAATCAATTAAAATTAAAAATATCATTTATCAAGTTATTTGATTAATCTATAGCAGTTCTACGTCTTAATCTTTTCTTATATTTTTTTTAATCTTCTCTATCTTCTTCTTCTGAATCCTCATTGATGAAATTATTAACATATTCATTTTGAGTTTTTTTTATAGTACTTATATATTTCTTTTTCTTATTTTGAACTTCTTTCTCATTTAAATTATCCTCATTATTTTCTTTATTCTAATCACTTTATTTCTTATTATTCTTCTTTAGATTCATTTTATTATTGAAAAGATGTGTGAATACAAGCTCTTCAAGATTTATAATTTTTTCTTAAAGTTCTTCAAATTATTTTTCAATCGCTTCAGAATTATTAGATTTTTCTTCAGCTTCCCTTACACTTTATTTAATGCTTAAAGTTTATTTTTGAACTTTCCAAAATAAGTCTTAAATATCTGAAGCTTCACAATCAATCATCTAAATTACAGATTATAATTTTGTAATTTGTTGTGTTTTTTCTAAAAGATCTTTTTTAACTTAAACTAATTGTTATTACACTAAAAATCATAAAATAAATTTACAATCTGATGAAAATTTTAAGGCTTCTAAACATTATTCTTTTAATTTCTTCATATGTATAAAATTATATAATTATATATATATTATTTTTGCAATTCAATTTTGTAATGCTTCTTATGCAAAAAATTTAACATCTCTATCTGGATCTTCAATTAATTCATTGATTGATCTAAAAAAAATAAATGAAATTTATATTTACTATTTAATTTGATTCAAAGTTTATTAGTTATCAATTTTCTTTTATAAAGACTTCGCAACCTTAATAGCAACAAATCTAATATTTGGAACAGGATCTTTTAAACATTTTTAAACAATAGGCCATAATTTATCTTAAGCAACAGGTCCATCAACAGCAAAAGAAATTTGCTAGATAGCATAAAGTGCATTTATTCTATAGAGTGATCCAACATCTTTAGATAAGGTTTCAATGCATTTAGATAAGAAAGTGCCAATAGCCCATTCTTATTTATAAGTAGCAATCAATGCTGGTAATTATGTTATTCCCATAGATCTAACTTCAGCTGCTCTATCTTTTAAAAACATAACAAAAACAGATTCTAATTGTTTATTAAAAACATCAGGATTTTTGACAGTCCTTAAAATATTAATATATAAAATAATACAAAGCTAATTGTATGATCGTTTGCATTGTTTCTTTTCTTACTCTCCATTTAGGATCATCCATACATTTTTTAAGAAAAGGAACAAATTAATTCATAGCCTCTGGACCTATAGCAGCTGCAAATTATCCTGCTGATTTAGCAGCATTTCTTCTTACATCCTAATTATCATCAGCCATAAGATCAATTAAATATTATTATAATTTGCTTTGACTATATTCTTTTGGTAAAAGTGTTGCAATTTAACCAATAACTTCACATGCATGTTCTAATATTAAAAACAATTTATACATTTAACTTAAGAAAAAGGATCTTTTGATAATAATTATAAAAGAGGAACTATTAAATTTAATTTCTCTGGTGATACAAATTTGATGAACCTTGCTAAACTTCTAACAGCTATAACTCTGACATCACATTCAGTATCTTTTAATAAATTAGAAAATATTTATATTAATGATGAATCAGCAATTTCTTTACCAACAGCTTCAGCTAACTATATTTTAATATAAATAATTATAAATTACATCTGCAAATATTTTGGACAATGCTAATCTTACTCTCCATGATTTATCTTCCGCTGATTAAATAATTAGAGGTAGAATATTTGTTTTATTTTCACCACTATTTAAAATTTTTGCTATATTCATTAAACTTTCCATGCATAATAATCTAACTTAATCTTGTTCATCTTAACATAATTATTTAAGAACAGGAATCAAATCTTAGATTACATGAATCTTATCCATAAATTAAGCAATTTCACCAATTTTAGTAGCTACAGCTCTTCTTACCATAGGTGTTTCTTCACTACATAACTCAGTAAATTTTCTAATCAATATTTAAATTTGAATTACTATCTAATTTTCTCCTTTTAATTGCCAGCTCTAGCATATAATGGACACATTAAACAAACTGCTGAGACTCTACAAGTAAAATTAGAATCATTTGAAGCTAATTTAATTATCTATAAAATTATAAAAGAAATATGTTTACCATTGGCACAATAGTATTAGCTATTTCATTGTCTTACAAAAATCCACATACTATTGCTATGGATTTTACAGCTTATTCTCTAACAACAGTTTCATCAAATCCTGCTAATTATTCAAGTAGAGATAATAAACACGCTGATTAATTTGGAATGATTTAACTATATTATTATTAAATATCGTTACGCAATATTTCCTAATTCTTCAGCTAATGCAAAAAGTACTTCATCATCCTCTTTCTTTAATAGTGCTATTTTAATATTTATTGCTATTACTTTCAAAATATGGTATTAATTATGACTTTATTTTATCACTACCTAACAATGTAGCAACAACTTTCACTCTATGCATAGCATTTACTTTTAAATAAACTTCTTCATTCTCCATGTCTTCTTTTAGAACCTCAAATGGATTTTCACTCATAATTAAATAAGATTTATATATATCAAAAAAATTATTTCTTCCTTATCAAAGAAAATTTATGAAATCAAATATTAATATCTCAAATTATTTACATTTCAAAAATAATCCATTTAATACAAAATATTTCAATTTTCATTAAATATTATTAAATATGATAGATACTTTCATATTTTATACATTTTAATAAAAAAAATTGGTTTGACAAAAATATTTTATATCTAATTTTAAAAATAATAAAATGTAGCAATAAATAATATTAGGTTCCATTATTTTTTGTGCTTCATTTCTTTTAATTATTTTAATCATTGGATGGGATGTTGTTGAAATTACTAATTGGGGTTTAAAGTGTAATTCAATTAGTAAATAATGTGATTAACAAATCTATGCTCCAGGGAGATATTTAGTTGGTCCATTTAATTCCTTCTTTAATTTTCCTGGAAGTAGATAAACTATTGAATTCTCAGATGATAAAAGGGCATAAAGTCAACCTCTTAAAACAAGAACTGCTGAAGGACTTACACTTAGTTTACATGTTTCATTTTAGTATTAACTAATTAAAAATGAAATTGCTAAACTTTATGCTCTAGGTGGATTAAATTATGAAGCCACTTTTATAAGAATGGCAAGAGATACCATTTTATAAGCAGCAGGTAAATTTGAAGCACCTAAATATTGGGCAAACAGAAGAAACATAACAGAAGCTATGTAAAAACAATTAGAAGATGAATTAAAAAAGGCTCATGCTAATTGTGTATCACTTTAAATTCTTGATATTGAATTACCTGATTAATATGAAGATTCTATTGTCTAAACATAAATTGAAGTCTAAAAAAAAACCATGAAATAATTTGAATAGAAAGCATAAATGATATTAAATGACATACTTGTTATGAGAGCATAAAATGATTAAGAAATCTTTGCCATACATGCTCAAGCTTAAGCAGATGCATTCACTATTACATAATCAGCATAAGCTACTGCTAATAAATTATTATTAGAAGCTGAATCTAAAAGTTATGAAATGATCTAAAAAAACTTAGAACTTACAAAAGATGAATTTAATCAATATTTATATTGGATTTCTGTTTAAAAATAAAAAAAAGCTAAATTAGTATTCAATCCCAACACTGTATTAACTTATAATCTTAATCATAATTGAATTAATATCATTTACATTTTACATATATATTTATTCATAATTAGTAGTTGATTAATTCTCTTAAACGAAGGTTCTCTCGATTATATATCCTTACATCCTCAACTTAATTGGCTTTTATTAAATACTCTGTTAAAAATTTCAATTCTTCATCTTTCTCATCAGAATTCCATTCCAATATTGGTATTCCATTATCAATTTATAAACCAAACGAATGAGCCAAATTATCCACTATTATGGCAGAACTTAAATCTATATCTTTTAGAGTTCTTAAATCTTTAATAAAAAATCCATTTTTTGTTTCCATACAATGATTTCTTGAAAATATTCCAATTATTTTATTTTATTCTGGATCCAAATAATCTACAATAGTACTTGCATATGAAGGCGAAGAAGCTGTGAAAATAAAAATTGAATAAATTTCCGATAATTTATTTAAAAAGTAATTTGTATATGGTCTTACATTAAAACTTATTTAATTAATGTTAACTTAAGCTTACTCTTTACTACTACAACAATGAATTAGGGTTTCATCTAAATCTAACAGAAGTATTTTTTATTTATTTTCTTCTTTTGGAACATCTATTTGACGAGATTTTATAAATTAATCACTCGGTCCTTTTAAACATTTGGTTGCATATATCAAACCTCTTTAAGTTAATAAAAGATGTTTTTTTAGTGTAGTTTCTGAAACTGATTCACCAAATATTAGATGTCTAAATGGATGATTTTTCACAGAAACTTCATATTGTTTTGAAGTTTTTAATTCAGCATCAGAATGATTCTACTTATTTGACAACACATTTTTAGCTGTATTAGTAAAAAGTTATTAAATTGTGGATGGTTTTGGTTTGAATTTTGATTGTTGTGGTTTCTAAGGAGACTTAGCTGAAGGAGTTATTGGTGTACCACAATCAGAATCGTCAGTTTAAAACTCTTATTTATGTTTTACAGAATTTATTGAATGAGGTGTTGTGCTTTCTCCATCATCAGAATAAAATTATGATTTCTTACTTGGCTTTGTCAGTGTCAATTTATGAGTATTATAATGTTATTTGGAATTCATTTTTTAGTGTATGATATGTAAATATTTAATTTTATATGTCAAAATAAAATACTTATTAAATTTGAGATTTATTTTATTAGAAATATAAGATTTGATAACTTGTCGAGAATAAGTATTCATTCCATCTATCAGTACCCTTTTGTATTTTTTATCACATTATTAATAATTTTTATAACACCAATGTTCAATAATTAGAAACATTAAATTTATAATTCACTCAATTATTAAATGAATCGATTAGTATTTTTAATAAAGAGATTAATACTAATTTATAGAAAATTAATAATTATGGTGATCGATTAAATAAAGTAGAAAAAAAAAATTATATAAAACTAAAAGACGAATTCAAAAAGTGAGCAAAAAAAATTATAATAGATATATATAATAATAATAAAAAAAAGAATACAAATAAATAACAGAAGTCATATAAAGAGATGATACCTAAGCTTTTAATAAATACTTATAAGAAAAAAATAAAAATTTAGAAATAACCTTAAATTCCCAAATATAGTTATTGATTATCATCTAAAGTTATATTTAATCTTTTAAGTTGCACATCCAATTTTATATATTATGTATAGAATAAAAATTATAAAATCAAATATATATTTATTTCTGTAAACTTTTCAATTCAATCATATAATATAGATTGCTTTAAAAAGATTTAAATTATTCAAAAGAACTAAAAATTAATTAGTTATCTTTTGATGTCAAAAAATTTTTAATTAATCAAATTCCATCCTATTCATTTTAAGAATGGTTATTATCTTGATGAATTTCTGTCATTTCAAAAACAATAGAATCATTCACCTTAGAATGAGGAGCTTCTTCAGTTAGATTAAAGACATCAGCAGCTTTTCTAACACCAATTTATTTTCCAAAATCTTCCCATTATTTATTCTCTCTATAAAATGTGTTTTGATTATATACTAAAAAATAAGCAGCAAATGCAGAGAACCTAAATAAAATTATGAAAATACAATACTCCCCAAAAGGCTCCAATAATTGAAATCATATCAAAGGATGTTTTATAAGTTAAAACAGAGATTTATTGTGTCTAAAAATAAATCTAATTTAGATACCAATTCTGTACGAAATCCTATTTAATATGCATTGTAAGAACTATAAACACTAACATTAGTAATCCAACTGTTGATTTTTTCTGTACTTAAAAAGATTCGAATATCATCATTCCACCTTCTTAAGAAATCAGGCTTTATTGTATATTTTTCTAATTAAAAGAATATTTCAGTTCTAGGATATAAGCCAGGCATTAGAAAGTATTAATAAGTTGAATATGGGACACTTTCTACAGCATTTCCCGTTGTAAGATCGAAGTTTGGTGAATTATCCCGAACGTATAATAAAATTCTTCCTCTTTTTAAAATAGATCAAGAATGTATACCCAGCAGCAATTTATGCAATTTCTTATTAACTCAAACAAGTCTGATTACCTCCTTCTATGCAGTATGTTACTTAAATTCTTGGATATGTAAATATAGGAGTTTGATATAGAGCTCCTGACATATTTGCAGACTCACTTATGTACATATAAATGAAAATTACCTTGGACATAAGATTGTGTAGTTAGATGCAGGAACCCAATCAGGATTACAAGTTTGTAACGGTATTTGTGTTCTTACATCTTTTTTTGAGACATCTTGAAATTTAGAAACTTAAAACATTTCAAAATAGAAGATTGATGGATCATTTATGGTTTTTGAAAATCTAAAATATGATTCTATATAAATTTATACGGATCTCCAAAAAAGTATCCAAAAGCTATATCTGGTAATGTTACATTTAGGGTGTCCAATATTTCTTCGTATTAATTTACTGTAGGACTATTATTTGTAATAAATGCTTAAAGCTCAAACTTAATTGATACCAACAAGTGTATAAATAAAATATGCTACAAAACAACCTATCATCAAAAGACTTCCATATAAACTTCTTCTAGATGATATCATTTCAGACTTAGGAACAGGCATGAATTTGAAAAAATCAAAAGACGCTATTAATCTTCTTTTCATTGTCACAATTTCTTTTGTTTCTTCTTCATTTTATTTTTTCTTATTTTATTCTTCCGAATTATTTTCAACTTACATAAATTAAATATTATTTGACTTATTACTTTTATCATTTAAATTTTCTGATTTAAATTTCAGTATCTAAATAGTAATAACCAGTATTCATTAAGAAAGTAATTATATCTGATATATATATATATTTCTATATGGATTATTTATAACAAAATTTCAAAATTGATATTATTGATTCAAATCTATCTTCTTTTATAAAGTAGATTTATAAGCTATAATTTCAGCTTATAGATATATTTATCCATAACATGATGACTTTTTAGTTTTTCTAAATCTTAATTTTCAAAATCTCTCAAAATATCAAAGATCAGCTGAGTACTTTCACATATTTCAATTTACTGAAACTTTTCTTTTAGAACATCATAAAAAGATTGCTTTAAAACGTAATTTCTCGTTAAAAAAATGGGATTGATGTGTATTGATTCATCTTGATATTAAATTAAGTCATCTATTTTTATTTTAATAATTTGCTACTGCTTAAAAGTGTTAAATCTAATTCAAGTACTCTTATTATAAATCTACACAGTTCTCTAATATTAATTGTAAAATTGTGATAAATAAATTTTTTTGTCTAAATACTTAATTTATTTTACAATAATCCTTAGTTTGTATATATCATTAGACTAATTATCAATTTGAATTTTATTTATCGGCATTACCAATCCATTATATGAACGTTTAATCTTTTGAATTGCTTATTTTAATTCTTTCACTAAAATATCTATTTGAGTTAATACTATTTGGAAATACAAGAGTTTGTCTATAGTACTAAGCATTATCTAAATCAGAGAAAATTAATTCATATACAGGTTCATCAATAATTTTTTCATTAAATTTAGTGAAAGAACCATTTTCAGTCAAACATTAAGAATTGCCGGATAATGGAGATTATAAGGTATGAATCTAATTTTGATAGAATATAGATTTACCTGTTACAAACTTTCAAGTTCTTAATTGCTAATTTAGTTATTTAGAATCAAACATTATTTTTATTCACATTTTTGTTATTTTAAGACAGAAAAGCATTGCACAAACATTTTATTCGTAATTTCAAACTTTTTTTTATATATATTAACACACTTCGATTTGTATTCTATTTATTTGCAGGCATAACCAAAAAGCCGGGAAAAACATATCAATTTCACTAAATTTCTTTTTTGTACAAAAATACAATGTGCTGCAAATAAGTTCCATGAAAAATCTTACATCTTTATTACAAAAACTATCAAATGTTTTTATAAAACTGTTTCTTAATACTTAAACTAAAATAATTATAACAATGATTGCTATTTGAATACTAAGTATAGGAATCAAAGTATCAATTGATAATAATTATAATAATTTCATAAAAATTTATAATTTTTTTATTAGATCTATTCATTAAATATATTTTGATTTAAATATACAAATAGAATTTGTAAGCCTCTAAGAAAGAAGTAATGAAAAGAAAGTAAGGAAGAATGAAATGAAGAAATGAAGAATGAAATAAAGATAATTAATAATAAAATTAATGTATTTAAAATATTGGATTTTGTACCCAGCTATAACAGGATGCTTCATAGGGATAGGACATTTTATAGCATATTATCTATCAAGAGTGTTAATGAATCAAGTCTGGTTTAGAAATGCGATGAAATACTTAATGATTAATGATGAGTATAAAATTAAATGAATCAATGTTGTGATATCGTTTATCAATGCAATTTAATGAGATGTTATGAAAGGGATTAAACTTGGTGAGAATGAACTTTCGATCTTCTATAGTATTCCAAATAATTGAGCTAATTTGAACTGATAGATGTTGGATCTGGTTTTGAATTGTTGGAAATTCAAGTATTATTATAAGGAGCAAAAATTGTTTGCTTTTAGGATTAAAATGTAAATACTTATCTTATAGTAATATTAAGCTATTTGAAATTGAACTACCTTAAGAATAACAAGAATCACACATTTCACAAAATTATAAATTATTGAAAAGAAGAGATAATAAATAAAAAAAGGAGTTAAAATGAATGTATTATTATTTGATATAATTTAGTTTTGAATATATTTATTTGAAAAAGAATGATTAGTGTTTATTGATTAAAAAAGTGATAGGAATTAAATGAATGATAAAATTTTAATAAATTTTAAATATAAAAAATTGTGATTTATAATGCCACAACACGATTATATTGAACTTCATCAAAAAAGATTTGGTAAAAGACTTGATACAGAAGAAAGAGCAAGGAAAAAGGCAGCTAGACAACCTCATGAATTGGCAGAGAAAGCTTAGAATCTAAAGGGTCTTAAAGTATAGAAATGAAAATATTTAACAGGCCAAAATGTTTAATAAGGAAAGATTTAAAGAGAAAGCTCTAATGAAAAAATAAATGTTAGCTCATGAAGAGAAAGATATAGAAGTTAATGTAGAAGATGTAAAAGATGGAGCTGTTCCTACATATTTATTAGATAGAGAATAATAGCAATAGTCAAAAGTATTAACAAATATGTTGAAATAAAAAAGGTAGAATATATTATTATTAAATAATTAAGATAAGAGAAAGCAGGTAAATGGGATGTTCCTATTGCTAAAGTAAAATAGATGTCAGAAGGAGAAATGTTTTAAGTAATAGAGAGTGGGAAGAGAAAATAAAAGAGTTGGAAAAGAAGAATAAATAAGGTTTGTTTTGTACCAGAAACATTTACTCGTAAACCTCCAAAATTTGAAAGGTATATAAGACCTACAGGATTACGTTTTAAAAAAGCAAATGTTACCCATCCTGAATTGAAAACAACATTTAGTTTACCATTATTGGGAGTGAAGAAAAATCCATAATCAGCTTTGTATACAACACTTGGTGTAATTACAAAAGGAACTGTAGTAGAAGTTAATGTAAGTGAATTAGGTTTAGTAACTTAAACAGGTAAAGTAATTTGGAGTAAATATGCTTAAGTAACAAATAATCCAGAATTAGATGGATGTATTAATGCTACATTGCTTGTTTGATTTTTTTAACAGTTCATATAATTATCTATATAAATTAAATTAAGAGTCTCCATTAATTATAAATATTGTGTTAAGATAAATAAATATATATTTATTTCAATGAGTAAGAATAAACCAAAACCAACTGATGCCAAACCATAGTTATCTAGTATTCTTTCTCTTTTTTATTATCAATAGAAGCTGAATTGGAGGCATAAAATAAGGCCAAATAGGTGAATGATGTTGAAAATGAAGCATACAAGGTATTATAATTCTGAAACTTCTCTAGAAATAAATGAGAGAAGAAATTAGATTACTTAAAACAGACATAGATTCTGAAGAGAAATTACTTTCTTAATATCAATAAGAAAGAGAAAAGATTAATTACAACTGGATTATTGCTAAAAAAGAATTGGATGATAAAAAAAGTGATTTTATTAATAAAGAAAGAGAAATACAAGATTTAAAAGAAAACCACTTTATGCAATTGAATCTTTATAAACAAAAGTAAAGTTTATTTTGTTATTTTAGAATTAAGCATCTCTTATTTTAAAATTAGGATTAATAAAGCGATCTAAGAAAAGATGTAGAAGTCACTCTAAAATAATTAGAAGATGATCATAGAATGAAAGATAGAGAATTAAAGACAGATATTAGATCTTTGAAAGTTTAATAAAAAGAAGCTGATTTAGCTTAAAATGATTATATGTTTGCACTTAAAACAGAATATGATCGTTAAGCTACTTAATTAAGATAGAATTTTGAAAGATAAGCAAATGATTTAAAAGAAAAATATCATTTAAAAATGGAAAAATTAAGAAGAGAAATGGAAGAGGCTAGAAATAATCAAATTAAAATTCTATAAGAAAAAAAAGATTTAAGAATATAATAATTAACAAAAGAGCACTCTAAAAAATATACAGAAATTAAAAATTATTATTCTGATATTACTGCTACTAATTTAGATATGATTAAAAGTTTAAAAAATGAAATTACAGATCATCAAAAAAAAGAAGAAAAGGATAAAAAATTATTGTAATCAATTGAAAATGAATCTAAAAATTTAAATGAACCACTCAAAGCAATTAAAGAAGAAATTAAATTCTTAATTAAAGAAAAAGAAGAGTAAGCTCAAGTTGTATAATAGAAGGAATAACTTAAACTTAAAATAGATGAACTTGAAAAGAAATTTAGAAATTTAGAATATGAATATGAAGTTAAATTATAACATTTTCAATATATGGAAAGAGAAAAGAAATCACTTGAAGATAAATTCAATTAAACTATATAATCAATTTAATAAAAAACTGGTTTACAAGTAAAATTTATATTTATATTAAATTAGAATTTGATTTTAGAAAAGAAAACTGCTGCAATCTAAGAAGAACTTGAAATCAAAGAATTACAATTAAATCAAGTATTATAAGGAGCAAATATAGATCAAAATAGTATTAGTAATTAATATATTATTATTTTTAGATATAATCACAAGATAGTATTAAGAAATTGATGTCTAAAAATCAGCTCAAATTGCAGAATTATAATAATAATTAACATAAATAAGAAAAGCTCATTCTCATATGGTTAAAGCTTATGATGGTAAATTAGCTGAATTTGTAATTCCTGTTGAAGAACTTGGATTCGATCCATTAGTGCCAACTTTTACAGAATGAGTTGCATATATTATATTAAATTAATTTATGTAATGTTAAAAAAAAGAACATAATTTTACAATTTATTCAAAAATTATTTAAAAGAATAGATCTATCATTTTTATTAAAGAATATAAATAATTTATGTCTGCTTTCTAAGTTGAATAAGAAGCTTCAAATGTTATAAAGTATTAGTTACCCAAATCAAAATAAGAATGATTTTTTAAAATTTGATGTAAATTCCTTAAGCTTTGACTGAGCATAATGCTCAAGAGAAATAAAAAGAATATTATTAATTAAGAGAATCTGAAGCAAAGAAAGCTTTCTCAAAATTTGGTTAACTCTTTCATATAAGATATAATAGAGTAAATTTGTTTTACTTAATTTTATTCATCAAATTCTTTCTAAAAGAAGATTGTTTTCAAAGGTCAAGAAGTACCATTTCTAAGTAATTAATGATTAAACTTCTTCATATGATAATATTGGCTTTAAAAAATATGCAATTACGATTAAGTCCTTTTATATAAAGTTTATAAGAGAATATATTTGCTCATTTATGGAATTAAGAGTAAAAAATATATTTATATTTCTTATAGAAAAAGTTATTAGCTTATGTAATGAACTAAAATATTTAGGTTATAAATGAATTCATTGAAAGCCATGTTGAAAAATCTTAATAAAGAATTCTTCTTCAAATATTAGAAAATGTCAACATTATTTAATATAGAAAAAACAAGATTTAACATATCAAATATATTTATTAGAAATAAAATTATTTATTAATTGGGATTTTTTGAACTCAAACTTAAAATGCTATTACAAACAGAATTTAATATACTTTTAGATTCATAAAAATCTTATAAATATTTTAAACCTAAAGATAACCTTTTTTCATTTTTATACAGGACAAGAATATCAATCCAACACAAGAAAGGAGAATAATGATGCAAATTTATAGATATATTTCTATTAATGCAAATTTTTTTGTAGTAAAAGATTTAATAATTTTTAAAGTATTTATTTTATTCTAATATAAAAATCTAAAAATATATATATAAATATAGGTAAAATAATTATGAGGGAGACATAAAGAAAAAACAATAGAATATGTCTAGCATTCACAATGAATAAACATTCGTCATTTAGAAAATCCTGAGCAACATAATTCATATTAAAGTATTTAATTATTATACTTTTTATAATTTTGACTAAAAGTTATTTTATTTTAAATAAATCTGTATTCTTTCACTTAATTATAATTAAAATGTATTCAATTAAGTATATTAATTTGGAATATTAGCTCTCTGAAAATTCTAAATCATTTTTCAATTCTTGAAGAACATTCACTATAGAAAGACAAGTATATTTGATATAAATAAATAATAAATTTTAGTATGTGCAAATCATGAATAAAAACGAAGCCTTGAAATTAGATAAAAAGACTGAATACAGACTAAAATAATAATTTTGATTTTATAATTTAGAATATTAATTAGAAAATAGTTTTATTTAAAACAGAAAACCCAAGAGTTTATAAAATTCTACTATCGACAATAAACTAATATTCAAAACTATTGATGAATAAATTATTCTTTATAGATGATTTAGCTATTATGAAGTTGAACTAATCGTTTTGCAAGAAAAATAAAATAAAATGTTTTTAAAAATTAATCAAAATAGGATTTTGAGATTTTTTAGAGATTATTAGAAAATTTTAATCTTGGGAAGTAATTACATCCTAACAATTGTTTTCCATATGATTAAAATCTATATAAATTGATTTAAAGTTCTTTGGATAATTTTTGTACCTAAAAGAGATTTCGAAAAAACACCTGAAATTAATAATTCAATATTGAAACAAATTAATGTTTAAAATGGCAGATTCTATTTGTTAAAATGGATCTAAAATGTTTCGAACATTCAATTTGAAAGGTTTAAACAACCCAAATTATATTATGATCTAGAAATGATAAAAAGATAGTTTATAAAGAGTAAAAATATATTTAATATAATGAAAAAGACAATATATCTGAATAAAAACATATGTTTAATTGGTATGGTAAAAAAGATAATTTATATTAATAGATTATGGATTATTTATGAAAAAAAGCTAAAAAAATAGAAAAATAAAAGAATAGTTTTTGACGTGTTTTAGATATATTAAATGTGATTATGAGGAATGAGAGGTGTTTAAGGAAAGAGATTAGTGAGTTTTAGGATTTGATTAATGAATTTAATTAAAAAGTGAAGTTTCAATGATGAATATCAATTTATAATAGGATTAATAATATGTAAAGGATTAGATTGTATATCTATAAATCAAGTTGGTGATTGAAATTAAGAATAAAATTTATGTTTAATTTTGTATATCTTTGAGAAATAATGAAAACCTCTAGATGATATAACATTAATTATAGAAGAAGGCAGATTATGATTTTGATTTGATTAATTTATTTAATATGTAAGAAAAAATGATGTCTGGTAATGCGGGACTCAAGCTGTTGACTGATGGTAATCATACAGAAGGAATGCCTTTTAGATAAAACGTATTAGTTTAATCTTCTGGTGGTGAATCAATCATGATGTACAATAAGATGCTCACTTAAAAAACAGAACGCAAAAATCACTACAGAGACTAATTTTGTGATAATCTTAAAGCGAAATCATAAAGACATCATAATATTTCTGAAAAACATTTATCATATGTTGGAGATAAAACCTATTATCCTCATTCTTCTACTATTAATATCAGTATTATGCATAAAAACTTTTCGTTATAATTGGAATTAAAGTTTTTCGAGAAGATCAAACAGTTTTTTTCTAGATATTTTAATATGTTAGTTTAATGTCTGAAATAAATAGAGCTATTTTAACCAGAATCGCCTATTAAATTGATATGGGATTCAGCATCCTTAGTCTCAAGATTATATTTTTTATTTATGATTCCTTTAGATATTGCATGGAGTAAATATTCATTTATGTTTGACATGTACAATTTAACATCTCTTATTTTTTAAATGGTTCTTTTAGGTGATTTAATAGTTGGTTTAAATACTGCTTTTTACAAATAAGGATAATTAGTGACCGATAGAAAATAAATTGTTTAACATAACTTTTTAAAATGTTTCGGTTTGGAATGGACTTCAACTATATAGTTACTGGTTTATCAGATATTGACTCAAGACCCATAAATAACATAATAAATTAAAGATTATAAAATCTATCTTACTTTGATTACGTTTCTTGTTCATTATAGTACAATATAAGAATGTTTGGAATATTATGAAGAAGGACTTAATTTAAGCAAGAAAGCATCATCTATAATTGAATTATTTAAACTAATTGCTGTCTTATTTTTTATAATACATATGTTTTCATGCTTTTGGTTTTGGGTAACACTATAATAAATTCTAGGTTGGTGATTATAGTCACCATAATTATGGAGTCAGTTGGTTAGAGACTCTAGTAGATTAAGATTGGGAGATTTAATATTTATCTTCAGTATACTATTCAACAGTTACAATGTTTACTATTGGATATGGTGATGTTCTTCCTCAAAGTAATTTAGAAAGAATTGTTTGTTGTTTATTTATTATAATGGCCAGTTTACAATTACCTTACAGTATCAATACTGTAGGAGCAATCATTTCATAAATTAGTGAATATGGATAAGATAAGAAACGTAAATTGAGAATCATCAATTCATATATGCAAAAAAAAAGAATTCCATTTTAATTATAGAGTGAAATCCGTCAATATTTAAATTATTATTGGCAATTAAATAAAGAAAAAGATGCTGAAGAAGCTGATTAAATGATCAAATAATTATCAGAAAATTTAAGAGAAAAAATGATATAAGAATCTAATTCTGTTATTTTGAATCAGTGTGCTCTATTTCGGTATCGATTCACTCCTGCTTTTAAAAGAGAATTAATTAAATCTTTAAAAACTTAAATTCTAGCACCAGAAACTATTATTGGAGATAAAAAAGAGTTGGTCTATATTGAATCAGGAATAGTTGATATGTATGGAGACTAATCATGTAATTTAAAATTAAAATCTTTCACCCCTAGTCAAACTATAGGTCTCATTCCATTCATCTCAGGTAATCTATAACCTGAAACTTATAAAAGTCAAGGATTTTGTTTGGTTATGACCTTATCACATAGAAAGTTTAAAAAAACTTTAAAAGATTTCCCAAATGATTATGAAATCTATTGTTAAATTAAGGACTATTTATAATTCAATGGAAATGAAACTACTATTTTCCCAAGAAGATGTTATGCTTGTTAAAGTTTCACTCATTATTCATATGAATGTCCAATTACACATTATGTACCTGATAGAGAAAAAATAATAAAATAACATTCAATTTCTACATATTAACAAAGAAAATTGATTCCACGTTAAGAATCAAAGAGAGCTCGTTTTCCTTCTAAGAAGATGTCTTAATAATCTTTGAGTAAAGCTGCATTCATAGTGCAATAAGAGAATTAGAATATTGTTAAGACATATGATTCCCCTTAGATTGTAGAAGATGAAACTAAAATTAATAGTTTGGATTTATATAATAATATTAAGAATAAACCCAAGAATAGCAAAGAGACAAGAGAAAAATTGATGTCTAAATTTAGACATCTAGTGAAGAAAATTACTTTTATAGATAGATACTATCCGCAATTTTTAATGATTGTATTAAAGAAATTTAGACATGATTAAAATTATTTTAGTCAATAATCTTAATTGAAATAATTAAAAATTAGATATGATCATCTAAAATCATTACCAGGAATTGATCCAGAGATATTGAAAAGTATAGAGATAACGATAATACAAAATTCAGATTATGATATTCGTCAAAATGATGAATTTGATACTCCTAAGAATTTCATACATTACAATTCGAAGTTCAATTTCAATAATATTAAATTAAAAATAGATAAGGATAAACTGAGATTCTTCAACTAGTTCTAAAGATATTGTTTGCATCCAATTTTAATTATGCAAAGATTCCATTCAACCAAGATATCTTAAGATTTAATCACCCATAATAGAAGAAAAAATGTGTTTTGATTAAGCTTAAATATTATTCTATAGATTATTATGATTTATGATTAATGTCGATAAAATATCATTTTAAGTTTTATCTAATCTAATTGAAAGAAAAGATACTATCATCATCTTCATAATCGAAATCTGAGTTATTTGCTTTAGTTTCTGAAAAGCTTGTACTTGAATTCTAATTAACAACATATGGATCAGATGCTTCAGCCATACTTTCAATAGCTGATTCATCAACTCCTCTTTTCATTCTAAAATTTCCGCCTTCTCCCCATTGATCTCCCCAACTATTTTATAACATCCAAAATTTAACACCACTTTCTTCTCCCCAACCAAAACATAAAACTGAATGATCAACTTTTTCCTAATTTATAAATATAATTTAAAATACCCATTCAGCATAATCATTTGTTTCTGCTTTGGAATGATAAATACCAGATTCATAATACATAAAATCATAAGATGGTTCAAAACTTAAGACCACAGGTCCATTCTTCATAATTTCCATCATAATAACTTATTCTGATACTCTACCATATGAACCTCCTAAATATTTATAATTTCTAAAATAGATATAAATTAATAATTTACTTAGTTTTATAAACTTTTGATTAAGATTTAGCTTTTTAGAAATTACATGATCCATCAAATCCTTAATATGGTTCAGCTGCTTCAGAAACAAGAACTTATTCTTCAGCAAATTTATTTACCAAATAAGGATAACCACCATCACATCCTTGATTGAAATAATTGCAATTTAAAGACCATTATGGTGAAAGATCAACATTTTCACCTTGAATTTTTAATCTTGCTGATAACATAGACATTGTAGCAATTGCATAACAAGATCCACATTATCCTTATTATCTTGGAGGTGATAATTTTCTAAATTCATTAAATAATCAATTACTCTTTCCAATTAAATGAACTTGGTAATTCTGAATATTCACCTGTCTAAATAAATACTTTATTTGATGTAGATTCCTATTGTTTATATGATTTGTCTTTTCTAAATCCCTTCTTCTTTCCTAAAGACTTAGCTACTTCTGCAAAACTCTTTCCTTTCATATGATCATAAACCTTTGCCTTCCATGTACCTTCCTTCTAATTCAATTTTTCTACTAGATCATCGTGATTCAATTCTGGTGTTTTTTCTTAAACCTATAAAAAGGATAAAGATTTCATATCATCATCGTCCATAAATTCTGGTTATACAATACTAACTGTTTTGATAGATTCTGATGATTCTACTTTTTCAGTTTTTTCAGCTCTATAACATCCTTTTTCTTAAGTATCAAGGTTTGTGTACCAACCTACTAAAGTTTGATCACAATATGAAACACCTTCTCTACCTTTAGGCTCATATTTTGAAAATGCAAAATATTTCATATTTCCTAATTTGATTTCAAAACCTTCATCATAAACCATAGTCCATTCTCCTGATTTAGAACTTGATTTAACTTTATAATCATCTCCTAAAGTAACTTCAAAATCTTATGAGGGTTAAAAGTTGCTAGAATAAGCCATATATGATGTTTTAGCTCTATCAGGAACCTCGTGACCACATGGTAATAAACCCACACCCTTTTAAGTTGGTTTTTCTAAATATAGTCTCCACTTTCCTGAAACCTAGTGTTTTAAACAATGAACAGGCAAATCACAGACTACAAATCCGATCATGCATAATAAGATAACAAATCTCATTTTAAGAAAATATATATATTAAAAAAAACGGAATATATAATTAAAGAAGCCTGCGTTAATAATTACTCCGAATTAATTAAAGCAATCAATAATGGAGCAAATAGAGTTGAATTATGTGATAACTTATCATAAGGAGGTACCACACCTTCTTTTGGAACTATTAAAAAGGCAGCTCAATATCCTATTGTTGTAATGATTAGACCAAGAGGAGGTGATTTTGTTTATAATGAAGAAGAATTTGAAATTATGATTGAAGATATCAAAATATGCAAATTATTAGATATTAAAGAGATTGTTACAGGAATCTTAACTAAAAATTAATAAATAGATATTGAGAGAATGAAAATATTAATTAATATTGCATCTCCAATCCAAGTAGTTTTCCATATGGCTATTGATGATTGTAGCAATTATCATGAAAGTTTATAACAATTAGTCGATTTAGGAATTAAAAGAGTACTTACTAAAGGTGGATAGTTTAAATCAGCTATTGATGGAAAGGAATCAATTAAATAAATAGTAAAACTATTTCCTCAATTGACTATTTTAGCTGGAGGAGGTATTACAAAAGATAATTATGTTGCTTTAGCTGAATATTGTCATTTAAAAGAAGTTCATGGAACTAAAATTGTTTGAATTCCATTTGTTATAGATGTTTAATATAATATTAATGTGAATATTTTAAATTTAATTATCAAACATTACCTCATCTAAACCTATCCAACCAATGATTCCAATATAAGTCAAATCACTCATTTATATCTTAGAACTTCAATCATCGCTAGTCTGCTTCTCTTTTGTTTAGATAATATGAATCCAGAAAATAATCTCCTATCACTCATGTTGTCGTTACACATAATCCAAGAAGAAGTCATTAATTCGATGGCCGATCAAATTCACCTACTAAAATTTTAACTACTTCACATATCTACCCAAAAATTATACAATCCACAGAATTAAAAACTAGAATACCTACATAAGTATATTTTTCATTTATAAAAAAGGGATAAAGCATTCCAATTTAAGAAGCACTTAAGATTTACTCATCAAAACAAACTCCAGATTCATAGTATAATTCAACCAAGGTCTCTTCTTATCTTCAAGATAAATTTAATGAAAAATCAAACTACACTAAGACTACTACTGGAGAAAGTTAAGAAGAGGAAAAGTCTTCTAAACAAAGTAAATTTTTTTTTTTTTCTTAGAACCATCAATCATTTATTAAAAACAACTTCTGGATAAAGATTTATAAATAATGCAATTACAGAAAGAAATCAAACTAATTAAAGATTCAAACGTAATTAATTTCATTATCAATTTAGAAAAAGTACTAAAATATCGAAAAAGAATATGAAAAACTCTTATAAGAAAATTAAAAATTGAAATTACAAGTTCAATTATAATAAATTCAAATCACCTAACTTACTCATTAATAATCTTTGATATCTCCAGGAAGACCATCAGAATATGTTAGTGCTTTAAGTGAATAGGATAAATTAAAAATTAAGACTCTACTAGAATGCGAATGAATGTATGTTAATTATATATATTCACTGATTTCAATTCAGAATTTATGTTTCTGAATTCTTCTTTAACTAGTTTACGACTCAGCCTCAATTCTAAATAGTACTTCTTAAGATTGATGAAATAATTTATTTAAATTAAGAAAGCGATCTTTCCATTCTTTAACCTCTACTTACATCATTGGAATTTATTTAATATATTTTTTCTGCTATTCACATTAATATTCTAATTAACTAATACTATTTGATTTAATATATAAAATTACTTTTATAGTAATTCATCTTTTTCTTAATTTTACTATCTAATCTATTATTCTTAATTAATTTTTAATTATTCAAATTGAGATTACAGTTCTTAAATTTGAGTATTCCTTTCTTATACTTACAAGAAGATTTCTAAATTTTTTTTTTCTAATTCAAACATATTTGAAATGATAGTAAAATTGTTGGTCTTTTTTTCAACAGCAAGAGTTTCTTCACTTTTTCGTTAAGATAGCAAATTGGAATTCTAATCAAATTCTAATTTAAAATTGGTGCAATTATTGCTATCATTTATCTTTTTTGCACGATCATTAATTGGAAATTTGATAGCAATGGATTCTTATAATTTCATAGACTCAAGGGATTTAGCAATCAAAAAATAGCTCACCTATAAATACCTAATTACATAATGGTTATTCTGATTGCAATATTTGCTTTTTAGGAACCTTCATTTTTTAAGAAGGATTGTAATTGAAAATTTTAGCAATACAACTTTCATGTTTTGGTGTTTATTTAACAAATAATTCTTTTTTGATGTTTTGGAATTGCATTTTCAAATTATTAATGAATAAATAATAAATAAAATAAATAAATATAAATATAGTTAAATTAACAATAATAATAATAATAAATCATGCTCCAAAATCTGATGGTAATCTATATTAACCAGGTCCAGGTGATCCATCTCTATGTTCAGAAAGTATACGTTAAGCTCTTGGGAATTTAATACATTTGCTTGCACCAAATTTGGAACAAAAGTAAGTTCCTTAAGGATCTAAGTTACCTATTTCTTTATATGTTCCTGGTCCTGGAGTATTATCTCCAAATTTTCTATCTGAATTGGCTCTTGGAGGTGAAAGAACAACAGCTCCGGAACTATGTATTTGATAGCGTCATTCAAAATTACTCTCGATATTGACTTAGAGCATATTTGCCTCGACTGTTAATACTTGATGGTAAATTATATTCGCCACTAGAATAGGTTCATAGGAATACGGTCCAGGTTTTCGATCTTTGCTTTTTCTACTATTTAATCGTTATCTCATGCTATAACGAACAGCTGACTAGATTTCTTTAAAATTGTATGATCCTGGCCCAGGTGTTTTTTAGACTAAACCCAAGAAGATGCTCTCAAATTTATTAGCACGCTTAGATCATTATACTTTAATGTTACATCTCTACCCAATCCCATTGTCCATCCATGTTCATTGGCAGTTTGAACTTAATATGAATTGGGTGCTGGTGATATACTTTCTTAGGTTATGTTCATTTTCTTTCCATATCCTATTCCTGCTGCTCTCTTACTCAATGTTGTTGGCAATTGATATATTGGAGGGCATCTAATTATTAATTAATCTTTCAATACACATTATCTTTAGGATCAACCCAACGTTTTGCTTTTGAGAAAGTATACATTTATTTTGTTTTACTTGTATTTAATGGTGATCTATTCGCTGCAGTAAAGTCCATTTTCTTATTAATTTTATATTATTATTATTATTTCTCTATTATTACCATTTCTATTACACTCTTATCATTTTATAAATAATCTCCTTAGCTTTAATTAGTCACTATTATCTTGTATTTTCATTCAAAAATATTTTTTTATTATGAATTTAGCCCCTCGCAGAAATATTAAAGAAATGCTTCCTATTCACTAAAACTTTATAGAACCTCATAATTATTAATCATTTTTCAAAAGTCCTGTTAGTACACGTTAAAGATAACAAAGACCATCAAAATTACCCTCATTCAAAATCTCGAATGGATTACAGGTTCAAGTTCCTGTCTCACCACCTGTTTCTCCATAATGGAGGACTCGTAATATGAGTCGTGCAGAACAAAGAATGTTAAGTGTAAGTCCACCCTAAGTACCTTCAGTACCTTAAAGTCCAAAATATTAAGTTTAGATGTAGATCTTCAATGAACAAATATTAGTGAGTTTATGTAACTTAATTAGTAAAAAGCCTTGAAGAGAAAGATGAATGAAACACTAATTAAAAAATAAGTTGTCTAAACACCTGAAAAGTTATTGCATCAACAATCTTTAATTCGAGAAGATCTAAACAAAGGTAGTTTTAAATTTTTGTTTGTTCTTGGAAAAGGAGGATTTGGAAAGGTATGGAGAGTGGAGCTATGCAAAAGCCGAAAGCAATATGCAATGAAAGAGATGAGTAAAGCTAGGTATATAAATACGTTAAATGAGAATCTTATCAAAGAAGTCTGTAAATTCTGTATTAAATGAGAGGATCCTATTAAGTAAACTAAGACATTCTTTTATTGCAAATATTCATTTTGCATTTTAAGATAGAGATCACCTTTATTTAGTAATGGATTTATTGACAGGTGGAGATCTGAGGTATCATATTGGAGTGAATCGTCGATTTACTGAATGGCAAACAAGTAATGAGATAAAAGCAATATAGAATTTGTCATAGGCTGTTTATTAGTGAGTTTAGAGTACTTACAAAGTAATAACATCATACATCGGGATATAAAGCCTGAGAATGTAGTATTTGATAAGAAAGGTTATCCAAGATTGACAGATTTTGGGATAGCAAGAATATTGAAAGCAGAGAATAGTTAAGAAACAAGTGGGACTCCAGGATATATGGGTTAGTAATTATATTAAGTCAGATAGCACCAGAAGTAATGTGCAGACAGAATCATGGAATAGGTGTAGATCATTTTGCATTAGGAGTAATGATACATGAATTTATGATTGGAAGAAGACCATATGTTGGTAGATCTAGAAAAGAAATTAAAGAAATGATGTTAACTAAATAGATTACTATTAGAAGATAAGATGGTTGGAGTAGCGAGAGTGCTGATATATGCAATTAAGTAAAAATTCGTATAATTTTTAGTTATTGTAGAGAAAATAATAAAATAGATTAGGATTTGATGGAGTTTAATCAATTATGAAACATCCTTGGTTTTAAAATATGAATTGGTAAAGTTTGATAGATAAAACTATGCCTTCTCCTTTCGCTGAATTTGCATATTCAGAAGATCAAGACTTTAAGAGATAGATTTCGTCTGATCATGATTCATAGGATGATTTGATCTAGGAAAATGTAAGTGCATTAAGAAGGGATTCTATTTAAGATATGTTCAAAGATTATGAATACAATGATCATGGAATGACTGGTAGTACTAATTCAACTCAAATTATATGATAATTTTATTTATTTTATTTATAACATATTAAGATCTATAAATATTATTAGTATTTTATATATAGATATATATATATTTATTAAATAGCAAGTATATATATATATATATATAAATATATTTAAATATTGCTTATAATAAAATGGATAGATGAAATGATTTGAAAATTTATTTAAAATTTAATGTTTGAGAAAGAAATCGTGATTGATGGCAAGGGCCATTTGTTAGGTAGATTGGCTTCTTATATTGCCAAGGAGTTGTAAAGAGGCTAAAGGATTGTTGTAGTCAGAACTGAATTGATTTAACAATCAGGTATAAAAATGTTACTATAGCAGGTTCCCTATTCAGAAATAGAGTCATCTTTGAAGAATATCTTAATAAAAGAATGGCATTCAATCCAAGAAGAGGATACAAACATTATAGAACTCCATCACGATGTTTTTGGAAAGTAGTCAGAGGAATGCTTCAATATAAATCAAAAAGAGGAGCAGCTGCTTTAGAAAGATTAAAGGTCTTTGAAGGTGTACCACCTCCATATGATACAAGAAAGAGATAAGTTGTTTCAGATGCTCTCAAATTGATTAGACTCAAGAATCATAGACCTTTCTGTTCATTAGGAGATTTATGTGCCTCAGTTGGATGGAATTCATAAACTATTGTTAACAGACTTGAAGAAAAAAGAAAGCAAAGGTATCGTGCATTTTTAACACTTCAATTAGAGGTGCTGCCTATTACAAGAGAAAGATTACCAGAGAAAATCTTAGAAGAAAGGCCATCGGAGCTAAAGAACTTTCTACAATCAATTCAGAGTTAGAGAAGTTAGGCTATTGAAATAATATAATAAAATCATGTACATTTAATCTTTATTATGTTAAAAATTGTTTATTCTCTTCAAATTTCATATTAATGACATTTAATACATAAAATATGTTATAAAATATTACTTTTCTTATCAATATTATTAACTAATATTCTATATTATACATAGTTGTAAATCAATAAGAATGGTCATAAGCATAATTGCTAAATAGTA